GTGAAATATCAGAGAAAACCAGGCAGCCAACATGGTTCAGTGTGAAGAACAGAGCAGCAGATGACATAAATCAAGACAACACTTCTCTGCCTCCCATTTTGCCAAATGTCACTTTGACATTAGGAAAAGCAACGGCCTATCTCCTCAACAGCCAAACACACCAGTAAAATCTCACTTCACAAAATGTACGTGCGTATACACACACGCGCCCACGCACCCACGAGCCGCAAAGTGACCCAGCACACAGACACAAACACACAGATAACAGGAACATAAACACAACAGACAAGATGAACACACAGGTAGCATACACTTAAAAAAGAGGCACACGCAGACACACACAGACACACACAGATGTGTATACAACAGGCACACACTCAGAGACACACCCAAATATATACACATACGGAAACACATAAACTCACACAAATGCACACTCAGACACAAAAACATCCAAATACACCTGGATACACACAGAAGAGTCCAAAGACACTCCCCAGTGTGGACAGCGTTTGACTTGGGGCAATAAGATTTGGATGTTCCTTGCTTTAGCCACTGAACTAGTTAGCACTCTCTGTGATGAGCATGTGATCACTGTGGAAAGACAAACCCACCAGTGCCTGTGAGGGCAGGGGGTGTTCTGGAAGCAGACGGTACCTCCCTGGCGGGCTCCACCTGTGGGCTGGGTGATGAGGGTGAGGTAGGGGCCCAACCACCCCTGCCTCCTCCCTGCAGTTTCCAACCCTGGAGAGCAGGCCCTGCGAGGGACCCCACCCTGGACCCCTCCTAGGGGCTGAGGTGGGTTCTTGTCCCTTTAGGATTCATCCCCTTGTGGACATTCCATGGGCCATAATCAGAAGCCCAGTCTCAAATACTAACTTGATACACAAGTTAACAGCAACCAGAAAGCCAACGTCCTCACATCATATATTGGCATTTTGCTGTAATTGTCAAGTTTTAATAATGTCCCTCTGCTACCTGGATTTTAAAATTCACTTCTTAGAATATTAATATTCCTGCATTAATGATCCCCAAATTCAGCAATTTCATATTTAACTGCTTATTTAAATGGAATTAATTCATAACCAAATCTCTTCAAATATGCAAGGCAATTTAAGTAATGCCAAAAGATAAGAAATACACTTATCCTGAATAACCAGTTGATGTTAAATATCGACCCTATTTCTCTGTCAGACAACAATGTGAAACAGAGCCCTCTGTAACTCACTGCCCCCTCCCCCAGGCTCCTGGGCGCACAGTCTGCCTGCTTTGGGGGTAACTCTCCTGCCAAAAAGGCACCCTATTAAGCTATGCAAACTTGATAGATGAGTGACTCTCGACTCAGGCCACCTGGGCCCCCAAGACCACCCCTTTTCCTCCATAGTCAGCATCTCTCTCAGGAAAATCTGCTCTACAGCCCACCCCCTTAGATGCTAACCGACATCTATTACGTCTGACTTTGCTCCTAGGCTGCGCGAACCAACCGCTCCAGGCAGTCGCAGTGGCCACAGCCTCTAAGAAGAAGCCCCATGTCCTCCTGACTGCAGAGCGACCCTCTCCACCTCAGCTTCACCTAGCTCCAGCCCCAGACCAGCCTGGCCATGCCATCACCAAGACCTGGCAATGAGCACCTGACCCCATCCTCCAGCCAGAGCCCACAGAGGGCCCTGCTCCTTCCTTCCACACCTGCAGCCATACATGAGAACTGTGGCCTGGGCCAGAGGCCAAACTCAGCCTGAGGCCTGGCAGACTGTCCCCACCTGCTCCCTTCATCCCATCACAATCACACCCCTGGTTCCCCACAGAGGAGAAAACCACATCCCTTGAGCCCAGGGATCTCAGGCCATTGAGAGATGCCAGAGCATATCTACCACCCCCACCCCACCTCTGGCTCCCTGTTCTCTCTGCTTTGGGTCCTCCACGACCCCAACACTGTGAGACCTTGCACACTCCCTGTTGTAGGGAGCAGGCGACCCAGCCCTGATCTGGGAAGGTAGAGGGGTGTCCGAGGTCTCCCAGGACCAAATGTGACAGACCCAAGGCAGCCAACCCCCAGAAGCCACATTTGGAGAGGTCACAGGCTGCTCACTCAGCTAAACCAGGACCCAGAGACTCTGGCATGTGTAGACAGGTGAGGCCACCATTCTACCAAAAGCTCCCTCCTCTCCCCAGGCCAAGGGGTAAAGGCAGCCTGGGATATAGCCCATGTGCACAAAACGAGAGGCCAAACCTGAACTTCTGCTAAAACAGGTCAATCAAGGACCTAAGATGGGAGGTGTTGCAGAGAAGTTCAAAAGGGTCAAACCCTAAAATTTCAGGAATAAGGCACATCATTAGGGCTGTGAGAACTGACCGGTGATAGAAGCAGTTGAGTACTAGAAAGCAGGACGACAGCAAGATTCATCTTGCTTAGGAAACAGGCTATTATTATCTCCAGCAAACAGCTGGAGCCGCTCATAGCAGGCAGGTGAACTCGGTCCATGAGCCGCACTGGCCCTCAAGGACAAGGGCCTCTCTAGCTTGGCATAGAGGTCAGGAGGTGGCAGAGTCAAGGTGCTAGCAGCAGGGGTGGGTGGGAGGCAGGGGGCTGGGCTGCACCTACACCCCAGGAAAGTGGACATGACTCTCTACAAGAGAAAGGCACTGGCAGGCAGCTGGAGACAGAAGCCACTGTCAAGATCAGTGCCCATGGCATGGAGCTACACGAAGGGTGCCGCAGTGGGAGGGGAGGCCCAGAGGGAGGCATGGGGGACAAACCTCCAGGGACAAGAGGGAGGGAATACCACAAGCAGGCCAGGGGACCCCAAAGCAGAGAGATACACGAGAGGGCTTTCATGTGCAGTGTGTCAGCCAAGTCAGAAAACTCAGCCCCACAAGAGTTTGGGAAGGAATCCCCCAGGGCAGCAGTGAGGGGTCTGGGGTAGCACCCTGTGGTAGGCCCCCATCTGGACTGGACCATGAGTTAGAGAAGGACCAGCCCAGCACCTAGGGAAAGTATGCAAAGTTAGGGCAATTCTTGGTTCTGTAAAAAGCCTCCCAAAACAATGAATGAATGAATGAATGAATGAAATTTTAACATGCTCCCAAATGCTGACCAGGTGGGTGTGGGTTTGGCAGAGCACACCATCTTCTGGGCTCTTGGCAGGGATTGCAGAGACTCAGGGAGCAACAGGGGACAGAAACTGGGGTCTGTTTATGAAGGGAGAGATCGGGTTCACATCGTCACTGCTCCCAGGGCGGGTGGGGATGACAGTGATGATGTCCCTGAGCCCCCCATCTCCCCCGGGAAAACTTAGAGAGCAGCCAGCAGTGCTCTCCTCTCAGGGGCTATATCTTGAGCTCTCTCCCAAGAACCATGCCTGCCATACCACCCACCAGACCTGTTCCCAGGGTGCTGAGCAGACATTCTCTGAAGCAGAGACCTCTGGAGCGGGCAAGCCAAGGCCCACAGCCAGGAAGCCCCACAGCTCCCTGACACCAGGAGTCTTGTAATCAGCGATCCTCGAGTCTACCTGGCCCACTGCACAGACAGGGAGATTGAAGCTCAGGGGCAACAGGACTCAGTGGGGGCTGCCTGTGAGCACCAGCTCCACACCAGGCTCCAGGTGAGTGCGATATTTCGTCTCCACAAGCCCAAGCATGCTACACATGGGGGAACCGAGGTTCAGAGGGCAAGTTCTCCTAAGATCACAGAACCAGTCAGTGAGGCAGCCACCAAGGCTCCTTCCTCCACCAGCACCATGGTGTTGGGGACCACTGGTGACAGTGGAGGCAGGTGAGCAGGGTGCCGGAACACCAGTATCTGGCAGCGCTGGGGGGCCCAGGGAGGCTCAGCCCAAGACAGGCAGCAGCGGATTATGCACCCCCACTAGGGCCTAGGCTATGGCCAACATTTCGAGGAGCCCGGCTAACCACTGCCAGTGTGGGAGGCGTGGCCATGCTGGGGAAAATCCCAAGAGGATGCAGAGATTTGAGCCATGAGAAGAAGCAAACCTGATACTGGATCCCCCTGCCCTATCGCTCTTATCACTGGGGGAAGTGATACATATTTATGAGCTCTGAATCCTCCTAATCACCCCGACATCTCACATACACACAAATTCCCGTGGCTCAGGCTCATACATAATTATAAGGCACTTCCTCTGTCACTGCCTCAGTCCACTAAAGGACGACAGAGGACACGGTGGCGCAGAGTAAGTGTGGTGGGGGAGGGGCTGCGACTGAGGTACAGGAAATGGCTGGGAGCTGTCCAGCCCAGCAGCCTGGAGGAGCAGGTACTGCCTCCACCCCCCCCACCCCCCCGCCACACACACACATACACAAGGGCTTGTCCACTGTAGCCTCGGGCCAGCAATGCAGACTCTACAGACCCCCACAGGGCCAGCCAGCCCAGCCCAGAGGGACAGAGCACTCTCCACGAACCACAGCGTGAGGGTGGCAAGGAGAGCAAGGTGCTGCACTCCCTGTGCACAACATCTGTCCTCCTGCCTGGAAAGGTCTAGAAGGGGGAACAGGGTTTGTGGCTCGGCTTGGTGTTCAGCTGAGAGAGGGCAGGGAAGGGGGTCACTATCTGGGGTGGAGGCAGCACGGACACGGGGGAGTTATGAGCAGGGCTGGGAGAGGTTCGGGGCTAGGAGTAAGAGGAGGGGCTGCTAAGAACAAAGACGGAGGCGCTGGGAGCAGGGCTCTGGAGGGGAAAGCGTGGCATGGTGGGGGCCTGCCTGTGCGTGCACAGCGGTCGGGCTGCCTGAGCACTCAGCGGGCCTGCACTTTCATTATTCAACTCAAGAGAAGTGGCATCTGTTCCTTAGAGTAAAAGTCAAAGTGAATTTAGGCAAATTATTTTTCTAAACATTTCCTCAAAATGCGCAGTCTAACCCTCTTTTAGCATTCTCCAGTTTGCGTATTTTGTGTCCAGTCCGCAGACTGACAAGGGCCTGCTGGCAGAGATGGGAGCTGTGAGAATGGAGAAAGGCAGTTCCCAGGCCCCCAGGACTCACTTGCTGATGCCCTCGAAGGAGGCCTCCTTGCAGACACTGCCGCTGTCGGTGTTGACTCCACGCTGGAGGAAGAGAGGGAGTGTGAGGGCACAGAGACATCAGAGTGGCATCTCCACGGCCTGCACTGCAGAGCCTGCCTCCTCCGGCCAGACTCAGGACCGGGGAAGAACTGGGAGCCCCAGCCCAGCCGGGCGAAGCCATCTCTCCCTGCCTTTTACGTAACTCTGAGCCGGGCCCCAGCACAAGGGCAAGACCTCCTTTTTCTGCTGCATTTTGAAAAGCAGAGAACACACGATCTCCGCTGTCAGAGCACTCTGCAGACACCAGCAGGCTGCTCAGGTACAGGTAGGGGCTGGATGAGAAGAGCTTGGCCCGGGACCGCCCCCTACTAGCAACCTGCTGTCCCAGGCCAGCCCCATCTCATGCACATGCTCCCCACTGACTGTTCTAGAGAGCACTGTCAAATCTAGCCCTTCCAAAGATGCTGTGTCACATTCCTCTCCTTTTCCCAACTGTAAGGAGACTCTAAGTGGAACTCAGACAGGAGCGAAGATAAAACAAAAGATTCAGAGAAAAATGTGCCATCCCAGGAGAGGTAAGTCATTTTAAATCGCCACTTCTTCCTCAGAACCTGCAGGATGATGGGTAATGGAATTCCCCCAATAAAACACACTGGACTGTATGTGACCACAAGCCCCTAACACAACCTTCCTTCTCAGCCGTCACAATAGCACAACAGGACAAACAGACCACGTGACGTGCTAACAAAAATAACCAAGAAAAACTATTTCTGTAAAAATCGATTAACAAAGGAGAGAAGGGTCACTTTGGGAGGGAAGAAGGGTTGTACACTCTTCATGTCTGAAGCTCCCAAGGTTAAAGAAGTACAAGAAAGCAGGCTTCTCCTCTGAGCCCCTTCACAGCCCGAGAGCCCCCACAGGCTACGCAGCCCCGCCCCGCCCTGACACCAAGGGTGTGTTTTTCAAATTCTATTAACAATGGAGGAGACATGGGGTGGAAGCAAATCAATATTCTACATCCACAAATCCTCTGTGTTCAGCGTGATACAAATACATCCTCTAGCCAGGTGTTAACCCTTGGAGTGGGTATGGTGTCTCATCCACAGTGGCCTCATGACAGGACACAGCACATCCAAAGGAGACCAGAGAATTGGGGACAAAGAGACTGGAGAATCCAGCTGTTCAGACCAAGGTGACACTACCAATCACCGATGACCATTCCTCTCAGTTTCTCAGTCCTCCCCTATAGTCCCAACCTCTGCAGGGGCAGGCAGCTCCCTAAAACCCCTCCCCATGCACAAACACAGCCTGGCCCCTGGATACCTGCCACTTACCAAAGTGAGGAGGACAGAGGGGCTCAGTGACGTCAGGACACTGGCAATCTGAGAGGTGAGAAAGAAAAATCCACTTTAGAGCAACCACAGGAAGTCGGATGGAGATGCTATACGACCATCACTTAATGATGGCTCACACAGAGCAGATCCTTAAACGAGGAAGTGCTGTTGTTGTCCCATCCTGCCGATGAGGAAACTGAGACTTACAGAAAATTAAGGACTTCTGAAAGCCACACAGCTATCAAGTGGCAGAGAGGGATTCAAACATAAGTCTGGCACACTTCCCCACATGCTGCCCTACCTCCACACAGGAATCCCGGGCTCCCAACAGCCAGACCTGCCCACCCTCCAAGACCAGCCCTTCTGTTCATCTGCCAAGTCCCTCCCGAAAGACAACTGGCAACCTCTTAGGCACTGGCCCCACCAGACTCCCCTCCCCAGAGCAGACACCTTCCTCCATGCTCTCCCTGCCACCCATTAATCTCTTAGACCATGGGAAGTTAGTTGTCCCCAACATCTGCCCCAAGCCCCCAGCCCACATCCCCACACCCCATCCTTCCACCATGGCCCACTCAGGCCTCACATCCCTCTGCGGCTTGCTTCCTGCCCCAACCCCCTGAATGAGTACACCATGCAAGCTCATCTCTCATGCCTTTGCCCAGGCTCTCCCCTCTGCCTACAGTGCCTTCTCCCTATCTTAGCTGCTTCGTCAATTCGTACTCAGGACTGAGGTCCGTGGCCACCCAGGCAGGTTCATTCACTCCTTCCTCCACTGCCCCACTGACCGTCATCATTCCCTTGGCCAAGTGCCCATCACACTGTATTAGCCATGACGTCTGCACACTTGGGTGCCAACGACCCTAGGGGGAGGACCTTCTTCCTCTCTTGGTCCCCACCCCCATCTGTTCTGCATCTTGGCTACTACAGCCCCTATTGTATTTGAGCCCCCCAGCTCAGAGAACAGTCTCCCCTCTGTAGGCCTCGCCCCTCCCCACACCCCCATCTAAGTACTTTAACACTGACACGGTGAGAGTGAGGACGATCTGTTATTTGCTGTTTTTAAGCTTTATTGAGCTGTCACTGGCATACTGTACAGTGCATGTTTTGATAGTTTTGACGTACGTATATATACATGCTTTTTAATACTAAGAGGCTCCCAGAGAAAACTTGGAAGATACTGAAAACTATAAAAAGATAAAATATACCTACAATCTCATCCCCAGAGACCTTTTATCTCTGCACATAAAAACAGAGATCTGTAATGACATTTGGATCACACAAAGTTACATGCTTCACTTATTCCCTGTCATTAAATATTCTTCAAATCCCTGATTTTTACCAGTCACTACTGCCGGGGATGGTGAACGGCCAGGGAGCCCTTGACTATGGCCTTGCCAGGCACTTCAGACACCATGTCATTTAACCACCCATGAAGCTGGTGCTGCAAATGTCCAGACTTCACAAAAGAAATGCTTATTTAAGTTAGATCATAAAGCCTAGAGTTGAACCTATGGCTGTGTCATACTCTCTTAACAGATGTAGCATAATTTATTCAATCCTCTATTGGACACTTAAATTATTTCTAAGGACTAACTATTGTAAATAATGCTCTGATGAACATCTTTGTTAAGTCCTTTAAAAAATTTCCTTAAAAAAAAAAAAAAAAATCACCCAAATCTGACCCAGGAAAATGGCTAGGTGAAAAGCCATATACTTTGACAAGGTTTCTGATGCTCAAGGCCAGATGCACTGCCAGATGTGAACCAACCACCCTCGTACCAGTGGTGCCTGAGGCTCCATCTCCCTGGACCCCCGTTC